CACTGTCAGCCTGTCCTCTATTTCAGTGTCTTTGGTTATATTTTGCTTGCTTCTTTGTTTTGTGAACACAATTAAAAAAAATCTTGAATCTGTATACAGGGTAGGGAAATGTAGGTTTACAGTTGGGAGTATGTGAAACGTAGAGTTTGTGTATTGTTACTTATTAATTATTCTATTATTTTCCATATGAACAATGGTAAACCTACTTTATCTTCACCTTGTATATAGAATTCTGTGCAGAATAACTACAGAAACTTGTTCTTTAAAAATACACATAGATCATTTATCATGATCTTTATCATAATACAATAAAATTTGAATTCTTTGAAAGAAAACAATGATAAAAAGGAATACACTTTGAGTAAGAGTTCTGGCCAAGGTGGAGGCATAGGCAGAAATGCTTCATTTCCTTACACAACCAAAAGAAGGACAACAATGAACAAAAAAAACAAAACAAAACAAAACAAAAAAACAACCAGAACTGCCAGAAATTCAAACTGCATGGAATTCTGACAACCAAGGAGTTAGAGTAACATTCATCCAGACAGACAGTGCCACAGTGAAGCGATGTGAGTTGTCCCTCCCTGGCAAATACCTAAGGCTCAGCCCTTTACAACATAACATGTGTACCAAGACAAGAAAATATGGCCCAAATGAAAGAACAGATCAAAACTCCATAAAAATAACTAAGCAACAAGGAGATATCCAACCTCTCTGATGCAGAGTTCAAAACCCTGGTAATCAGGATGCTCACAAAAATCAGTGAGCTCGGTTGCAAAATAAAGGAAGAAATGAAGGCTGTAGGTAGTAAAATAAAGGAAAATATACAGGGAATGAACAGCGAAGGGAATCAAACCAGGAATCAAATCAACGATTTGAAACAAAAGGAAGAAATAAACATCCAGCCAGAACAGAATGAACCAACAAGAATTCAAAAAAATGAGAAGCTAAGGAGCTTCTGGGACAACTTTAAATATTCCAACATCCGGATCATAGGGGTGCCAGAAGAAGAGTAAGAGCAAGATATTGAAAACTTATTTGAGGAAATAATGAAGGAAAACTTCCTCATTCTGGCAGAAGAAATAGACTTCTGGAAAGTCAAGGAAACTCAGAGAATCCCAAAGAATATGGACCCAAGGAGGGATATGACAAGATACATCATAGTTAAATTATCCAAGATCAAAGATAAGGAGAGAATCTTAAAAGCAGCAAGAGAAAAGGAGAAAGTTACCTACAAAGGAATAATGATAAGACTATCAGCTGGTTTCTCAAAAGAAATCTTACAGGCAAGAAGCAACTGGAAAGAAATATTCAAAATCATGAAAGGCAAGGAGCTACATCCAAGATTACTCTATCCAGCAAAGCTATCATTTAGAATGGAAGGCAAATAAAGTGCTTCCCAGCTAAGGTGAAGTTAAAGGAGTTCATCATCACCAAGCCCTTATTATATGAAACATTAAAGGGGCTTATCTAGGAAATAGAAGATCAAATCTATGAACAGTAAAATGACAACAAACTCACAACTATCAACAACTAAACCTAAAAAACAACAACTAAAACTAAGCAAACAACTAGAACAGGAATAGAGTCACAGAAATGGACATTACAGGGAGTTATCAGTTGGGAGTGGGAGGAGTAGAATGGGGGAAAAAGACACAGGGAATAAGAAGCATAATTTGTAGGCACAAAATAGACAGGAGCAGGTTAGAATAGTATAGGAAATGGAGAAGCCAAAATACTTATATGTACAACCTATGGACATGTACTAAGGGTGAGGGGAATACTGGATGTGGTCGGGTGAAGGGAAGAGGGGAACAAAAAATTGGGATAACTGTAGTTGCATAATCAATAAAATATACTTTAGGAACATGTATAAAGGACACATGGAAAAAGCCAAAAGGGGGTAGGATCGAGGGTAGGAGGTGGAGATTGGTAGGGTGGGGCAGAGTGGTGGGGTGAAAATGGAGACAACGTTTGAACAACAATACAAAATCCTATTAGAAATAATAAATGAAATATACTTTAAACATATAAAAAATGAAATGTGGAAGAAAATTAAAAATTTTAAAAAATTACACTGGAAATTAAAAGTAGGTTATAAAACCAATAGGTGTAATATCATCCCATTTGGGGAAAAATAATATCCATGTTATGCATTGGGGAAAAGAGGTTGGAAAGAGCCACTAAAAATGGTAAGAGTGATTATTTATGGTTTCTAAGCTTAATGGTGATTTTTAGTTTGCTTATTTTTTAATTTTTATTGTTGACACTGTTACAGATATGCCCCTCCCCCACTTTGCTCACCTCCTCCAAATCCCTGACCCCCTTCCCTCTGGCTATCACCACACTGTTCTCTGTGTCTATGAGTCATGCATATATGCTCTTTGGCTAATCCCTTCACCTTTCATCTGGCCACCACCTCCAGTTTTGCTTTATTTATTTTTTCCTGTTTTTCTTTTTTAGATTTTATTTATTTATTTTTAGACATAAGGGAAAAATGTACATTTTTCTTCTGGTAATGCTGTTGAACATTTTCATGTGTGCATCAGCGTATCTTCTCTGGTGAAGCATCTATTCATATCTTTTGCCCTTTCTTTAAAAAAATTATTTATTTATTTTTAGAGAGAGGAAGGGAAGAAGAAAGAGGGAGAGAAAATCAATGTGTGGTTGCCTTTCACGTGCCTCCTACTGGGGACCTGGCCCTCAACCCAGGCATGTGCCCTGACTAGAAACTGAACCTGCAACCCTTTGGTTGGCAGGCTGGCACTCAATCCAGTGCCACACCAGCCAGGGCTATTTAATTTTTTAAACCATTTTTTTTACATTCATTTTTGTTCAGTTACACTTATCCTTCATTTTTCCCCATTGCTCTCCCCTACCCTGCCTGCCCCACTCCCACAGTCAATCACCCCATTGTCCATGTCCATGTGTCCTCTGTTCATGTTCCTTGACTTGCCTCCTCCTTTTTTCCCGTTATTCCTTTTCCCCCTCCCGTCTGGTCACTGTCAGTTTGCTCTTTAGTTCCATGTTGATGGTACTATTTTGCTCATTTGTTTTGTTGATTAGGTTCCACTTATAGGTGAGATCATATGTTATTTGTTTTGCTTTATTTTAAAAGAGATTTTCTGTGTTGTTAAAAGTTCTTATATGGAGCATGTAAGCATGTTTTTTTTTCTAATTAGAAAAAATATCAACAATGAACTTTACTTAGGATAACATATAGAATAATATCTTTTGCCTGGGCTAGTGCAATGCCTCCTAACTTGTCTACCCATTTCAATTCTTGCCTCCTAAGACATTCTTTTCCTTAAAGCACTTAGCATAAAATCGAAATTCCCAACCATAGCCTGCAATGTTCTATATGACACTGCTCCAGACTACATTTCCAGATTTACATCCAATCACACTCCCCAGGTTCACTCTACTCCAACCACACAGCTTTAATTTCTTTGAACTGGGCAAGTTTTTCTAGCCTGGTTCTTCATATTTGCCACCCATAGCCCCTAGAAACCCTACTGTTTTCCTTACCCCAAGACTCTCTTTGCCTGACTAAGTCCTAGGTGTTTTTCAAGTTCTAGCTGAAGTGTTAAATCCTTAGGGAAGCTCTTTGGGCTCTCCCTCCTCAGACTAGGTTTGGTTTCTATGATAGATATACTCAAAGCACTTATTTTTTCCTTCATAGCAGTAAAAACAAACTTGAACATATACATTTGTGTTTACTTGGTTATTGTTTTTCTCCCTTGATTAACTGTTTGTTCTGTGAAGACAGGGACCATACCCAGTTTTCTAATTGCTATATCACTAGCTCTTAATTCAATGCTGGATGGATATTTGATGAAAGAATGCATAAATGAGTGAATGAATAAATGACTGAATCTTCACAAATTTTCCTGGAAATTATTGTACCAAAAATTGAGGTAAAAAAAGATTGTGAAAGAGAAGGCTAATGATATGCCACAAACACCATTTTAACTCCCAGTCCTGGTAATGGCAAAGATTCACTGAAAAATGCTGACAAAATAAATTTCCTTTTGTATTCTCTTTTCCTATATTTGCATTAGTGGACTATTCCTCTTTAAAGGGAAAAGAAGTCCTGTGAATTAGCTTAAAAACAAAATAACAGTAGAGTTGTTACTTCTGATGTTAAGGACACAAGGACAGTGAAATAGGATGATCTGTAGATGAGTATAAATTAGTGTATTACAATTCATTGTCTTGAAGCTCTGTTTCATCATATAATTGATACAGTACCACATAACCATAGCCCAATACAAGTTGGCCTCATATGTTCTACCTTCTCTTCCAGAGACAACTTGTACACATTCAGTCAGCTTGAGTAATGACCGTCTTTGTAATTAGGGCCAGTACATAGGAAAAAGATACACTTTCTGATTTATTCACTGTTGCTACTCTAGGGAATAAAAATATTGGTTACAGTTTAGGATTTCTCCAGAGTTTACACATTATGGTATAATCTTAAATTCTTAAAATACAGCCTTGTAAAAAGATGCTAAGAAAGCAGTGCAGGATGCTCTTTTGATCCTGCAACATCGTGCAACATTCAGATCTAGCTTTCTTTCAGTTAAACCCACCTTCAACTCTTAACCTCCATAGAAGAAAGTCATGATGGTAATTTCAATGTCAAATTCTCTAAAAGAGCTTAGTGCTTTAACACAACCACTTTTTCCAAAGTCTCAGGTTTTTTTTTTAAATTTGATCTAGTCACAAACTAGATGCTTGATAGTTATCTACATAAGTAAGTCTAGAGAATATCTGCTAGAGCCCTAGCTGGAGTGGCTCAGTGGGTTGATTGCTGGCCTGCAAACTGAAAGGTTGAAGGTTCGATTCCCAGTCAGGGCACATGCCTGGATTGCAGGCCAGGTCCCTAGTAAGGGGCACGTGAGAGACAACCACACATGGATATTTCTCCCCCTCTCTTTCTCCTTCCCTTCCCATCTCGAAAAATAAATAAATAAGATATTTAAAAAAACAATATCTGCTTGAGTATTTAGTCCTTTAATAGTTCACATAGAAGCAATACATATCTTTCAGTTACTCATCTCTTCAGAATTTACTCCCATGTAACACCACAGTTCTACAATGATGTGTGAGGCAAAGTCACACAAACTTTAAAATATAATTTATCCATAAATAATTCTGAAATAAACTTACGCAAATCAGTAGAGAAGAGGTAGGGGACATTGGCATAATTCATAAAATAGATATGGCCAATTTAAGAATAAAGACAGGAAATGAGAGAACAGGATTTGTAAATAAATCACACTTTTCTTTATATTCCTTTTAAATATCAAGGATTTCAATCACTAAATATAAACACAGTATGCTGAAAGGCACTGTTAATAATTATTAGTGCGTAAAAGGAAAAATATTTTTAACCTAACTAGATCCAAGCACTGACAGCAGGACTGATGAAGCCAAATAATACAGTGTGCTCAGGAGTATTTCACATTCAAGTAAAACACGTTATCAGTATGGTGCACCAAACTATTTATAATCCTTTGTTATTTGTATATTCTAGAACAACAATGAGACCCTAAATGGAGAACAGTCAGTAAGTCATTTGATAAAATCAATGCAAAGACAACCAAATACACTTTTCTGGTGATAATAATGATCAAACGCTATGCAACTGATTGTATCAGGGCATAATTAAATGGCTTAAATGTTTAAGACTACCAAAATAAGTAGAGCAACTACTTCATGGTCATATCTGTTATTTAATTGATCATACAATAATCTAATGATTAACCTATAAGTTCTATCTGGTTATCACTATAAAAATGGAAGAGCTTATTAATATGAGAAAACAATGTTCTCTACCAGTATAACAGAAATGACTGTAAATGATCAGAACGACAGTATAATTGAAATTAGGCCCTTTCTGAAGTATGTCGGAATAATAAAGAGAAGATAGAAAATATTAACCAATCTTAAAAACTTTATATCAGGGTTATTTTGCCATGTTTTTGCTTCATTCATGCAGCTTCAGAAAAAATTAACAAAATCCAACTCTCTCTTCACATTTACGGTAACTTCAAGAGTTTCAGTTTCCAGGATATAGAAAGCTTTGGCACTGTTGCAATCCACAGGATGGGGGAGGTTCAGCAACAGTTTCCTAGACAAAAGCAAAACAAAAACAGAGAATCAGCTTCCTAAAGTAATATCAGAAGATATTACTTTTATAAGGCAATGGAAAGCAATATATACCATCTGAACATTAGAAACCAAAAACAAACAAACACTATTTAGATAATATAAGTACAGGATTAAAAGTATGCTTAAATAACATAAATTGTATACCAGGGTTTTGACCTTAAAAATCCTAGCAGTGGTCTTGACTTCTCCCTCTTTTTTTCTAAACTGTCCACAATTTGTATCATGGAAACATAGTCTTAGGCTATGTTTATAGGCATGGAAGTAGAACCATTGCAACTTTCAGCTAGTTGGATAGATCTACTGCCAGCCACACATAAGTGTGCATGAAAAATCTGAAAATTGGAATGGTTCTATAAGAACATTGCTAACACAATTTTAGCCTGTCTCTACTGAAGATGTAGTTATTGAAACTCAGGCCTGCAATGATTTCAATACCATATCAATGACAATACTTCCCTCTGCTTGCTTCTGATTCTTTCTATTGTACATTGACAAAAATTCCCTGTGAGGGATTACTGGTTTATTTTGCAGTTAATGGCTCAGTCACTGGATAGCTTCAGGGTTTAGACACATTGCTGGGATGTGATATACCTAATTCTGTCATAGTAGTATGAACCTGACTTATGCATGGGGTTGGCACATGCTGGTATCTGAAGAAAATTAAATGTATGAAATGCTTGTTACCTCACATTTTTGATAGAGAAAGCTTAAGTATCTCTATAAAAAGTGGACAGAGGGAGGAAGATGGTGGAGAGGTGGATGGGCGCTAAACCCACTTAACCCACTTGCTGGAACACCTAGCGAATCTTCTGAAGAACACAGTGAACAGCCAAGAGAATCCCAGCTGATATGAAATTTGGAAGACAAAACGTGCATAAGACGCTTAAAAAAAAGATGGTAAGGAGATTCTGTAGGCCGACAAGAAGGTCCCTGGGCCTTGTGACAGAGACCACAGCTGCTGTGGAAGCATTGGAGGAGAGCCAGGTCAGTGATAGCAACTGAGTGGCTCCCTGCCCTCCCAAAGCCAGGAAGTCTCAGACTGATGCCAACTGAGACCTGGACAAGTTAAGTTGCTAGGGAGATAAAAAGGCAGTAAGTGACAGACAGCTGCCGGCATACCCCCGCTGGGGTGGCAGTCACCAGCTGGGACAGTACCAGAGAAGTTGGGGAGTGGTGACACCTGGAGTTGAGAAGAGATGGGCCCAAATGGCCGTGACCTGGATAGATTCAGGACTGGTCAGAGAGTTGACTGTGTGGAAATCCAGGCGCTTGTTAGGAGCTGCAGGCAGCACCCAGGGGGACTTCTCAAAAAAAAAAAAAAAAAAAGAACCAAGGAGCCATGTAGGGACCTTGTGTTGGCAGGGATTGCATGTGCCAGCAGCCAGGCCAGAGAAAAGAGGTGGGGGGAGCGATTTGCTCCCACTCAGGGCACCTCATGGGTTGGTGAAAGGGTCTCAAAATGAGGTGGTTTATTGCCCAGATGGCAAAAATGTACAGAGTGGACAGGGAGGGCTCCATAGTGCTCTGAGGGCATGGGATGGAAACTGGGCACCTGTGATTATTGTATCCAGACTGAACCCCATCTTTGCAGAACCACAGGAAAGAAAATAAGGGATCTCAATCAGCCTCTTCCTGCAGGGTCCCGAAAGACCTGCAAAACTGGTTTGGCAGGTGTAAAATATGTAGGAGCCTCACCTCTTCCCAAAAGTAAGACAATAAGACCTGCAACTGTGAGAAAACCAGAGAAGGATACAGAAAGAAGTCAGTGGAGCACACCAACAGCTGAGATAAATTTAACTCTGATCTTTCAGCACTTGCATGTTTTCTATTCTCTTCTTCCTGTTTATATAGTTTTTTGTTTGTTGGTTTTTATTGTTTAATTTGTTTTTATTCTCCCTTTCATAATGCACTTTCATTTTCCTCCTTTCATTTCACTCATATTCCAAATAACCCACTACTTTTTTACTTTTAATTTTTATTCTTGTTATTCAGATTATATATTTCTTTTAAAAATATTTTATTTATTTTTAAAGAAGGGAAGGGATGGAGAAAGAGAGGGAGAGAGACATCTATGTGTGGTTGCCTCTCAAGTGCCCCTCAATGGGGACCTGGCATGCAACCCAGGCATGTACTCTGACTGGGAATTGAACTAGGGACCCTTTGGTTTTGCAGGCTGGTGCTCAATCCACTGAGCCACACCAGCCAAGGCCAGATTATATATTTCTTATAATACTATTGTTATTCCTGGTCTTAATACATTTTGTCATCCTGAGCTTTATTATTGTTGTGGTTAACTTTATTTTGTCACACACTTCTATCCCTTACTCTCACTATTCCTCCTCCATCTAACCTTGCATAAGCACTCTTCTTTCTGAAGTCATCTCATAATCTTTATTCTCTTCTAATAAGACTATTAATTCTTTTTCTACTTTTATAAACAGGGGAAGTAGGGTGAAATATCATGGTTATTGGTGTACTTCTGCAAAGGAACTCCTATTTGTTCACTACTTGTTTGCATTTTAAATCCCATAGAATACTCTCCCTCTGTTTTACCCTATTTTGCTTTAGCCCTGCCCAAGATCAGTTGAGTAAGAAATTTTATTTCAGTATTCTATCTCCCTTTTTTTCCTTGTTTTTCTTTTTACCCCCTCTCTCAACCAAGGCTTTACTCCTTCGTCTTACTGGATTCTTTCCCCCAACTTCTCAAAATCATTTTTCTTTTCTGTAGACATTTAATATTCACTCTTTGCTTGTCTACAACATTCTGATTCCTGTTCCACCTTTATTAAACATCATTCAGCAATCGTTGTTATCAACCCTGCTGTGGTTTTTATGCACTTTTGCTCCTGTTGGTCCAGTATCTTTTCAATTTTACTTCAAACCTCATAGTACACTCATCCCTCTTCTTACCCCATTGTTCCCATTGCCCTTTTGTGTTTTACTTAAATTGTAAATTTTGCTCTCTCCTTTTCTTTGCCTCAGTTCCAGCCCAACTCTTATCAGTTATCCTCCATCATACCACAGAGCAACATTTCCCCCTTTTCAGTCATCTCATATTCCTTCTGTCATATTTTAAAATCCACAATCTATCCATAATCTGTATTCGCCTCTATTAATCTTACTTTGATTGTGGTGGAGACTGCTGATATGATAATGGGGTTCTTTTTGCTGGTGTAGGTTGGGTTGTCTAGTACTACTGCTTTGTTAACCAATACCTGTACAACAGCATTCAAGACAAGGTGGGAGTTGTGAATACCAGTAAACCCACTGAGGGGAGAAGCCATCAATAAGTGAGTCACCAACAGGTAGAGCCCAAGTACAACAAGAGAGCCCACTCAAATGAAATAAAGGGCAACTCTAGAGCATCCAGGCAAGGAGATCTAAAAGACAATACCACTGAGTCGTACAGAACTCCTATCACAGAAGTTCACTCTTCGAAGTCAGCTGACAAAGCAGAGCATCTAGAATTACAGAAACAAACAAAAACAGTCACCTAAAATGGGGAGATGCGGAAAGAACCCTCAGTCAAAAGGAATGGAAGATTCCCCATTAAAAGAACTAAGAAATGGAGGCAAGCAAACTATCTGATATATAATTCAAAAGAATGGTTTTAAGGATGTTCAAGGAAGTCACTGCAACTACAAGGAGCTGAGTGGAAACTACACAGTATGAAAAAGGAAATAGAAACTATAAACAAGAACCAGGAATAAATGAAGAATATAATACCTGAAATAAAAAAATACTCTAGAAGGTATTACGAGCTGACTGGATGAAGCAGAGGACTGAATTAGTGCGCTGGAAGACAAGGTACAAAGAAATACCCAGGTAGAGCAACTGCATGAAAAAAGACTAAAAAATATGAAGATAGCTTAAGGTAACTGCAGGACAACAGGAAACACAGTAACATTCAAATCATAGAAATATCAGAAAGAGGAGAAAAGGAGCAAGGGATAGAACAACTGTTTAAAAAAAAAAAAACAATGACACATAACTTCCTTAACCTGGAGAGGGAAAAAGCAATGCAAGTTCAAGAAGCACAGAAGGTTCTAATCAAGATGAATCTAAAGAGGTCCACTCCAAGACACATTATAATTAATATGCTACACTTTAAAGACAAAGAGAGAATCATAAAGACAGCAAGGAAGGATCACATAAACAGGCTAGCAGCTGATTTCTCAATAGAAACACTAGAAGCTGGAAGGGAATGGCAAGAAATACTCCAAGTAATGAAAAGCAAAGGCCTGCAACCTACTACTGATATAGGGTGCAGCCAGGGTGGCCCCAAATAGGAATTTTTAATGGGGCCCAGAACTCAGGGTGTCCAGGAACTATTAGAAAAATATGTATATAGGATGCCTTTACCTCCACAAGTCTGAGCTGGAGGATGGGATGCCTGGAGCAGGACTATTGAAAGCTGTTTTCCATAGCAACAGTTTTGCAGTTAACCTCTGGCATGGTCATTTAACATATCTATAACTTTTAACTGTTTTTGTGGATATGTTAAATAGCTGTGGCCATGCTTTGAGCCAGGGGGATAGGAGTGATTTCAACCCCTGATGTAACTGGAAGGCAACTCCCTCTGGTTAGAGCACCCGTGTGAGAGCTTGGAGATGACTGGCTCCACACAATGAGGCCATGCCTACCTGGACTTACTATGGCAGCCCAGTAAAGCTGGAAAAATATAGGAATGCTGGCAGGTATAACTGATTGTGGGAGGACTCAGAAATGGGGCTGCAGAGGAAGATTGGCACTGGGATTCAAACCCAAGTGTGGCAGCCATGCCAAGGGGGTACCTCTCGGCTTTGGTGAGAGTCAGGATCACATGGGTTTGGGGTGCTCCCTTTTGCCACATGGCTTAGGAAGCAGGAGAGACCTTTCTGGGAAGAAAAGGGGTGAAAGGACTCTTGTTGGTGGGCAATGAGAAGGTGCCACATGGTTTTGGATTAACTGGAGATCATG